AACATATGAGTTAACGGCTTACTCAACACATATTTATATCAAAGAGGAAAAATATTTTAATCAAATAAATTTTTGTACAAACAATTTTTTTTGAATGTCATCTATATATATATATAAAAACGGTATATAAAATTATTTAAAAAAACAGATGAAAGATTTACTGGAGCAGCTACAGCATATATATAATGAGTTAAAAGACAAAAATGAATATGCTATCATAAACGAATATGGATGCAATGCCAGACGTTGTACCGCTGCATTTACGAGTAAGATCTTTTTAGATTTCTAGATTATCAAATATGGTTACCTTTCCTTTTTAATTCGCAAAAGCTATCAAAGTTTCTGCAGAAAATCGATTTTGATATAATATGCAATAGGCTCTCTATATATCACATATATATGATATACCAATTATGTCTATCAAAATATTTGTGATACATATGCATTTATAATGATCAGTAATAAATAGAAATGTAAAAAACTTTTTTCTTTTTTTTTCGAATAGAAAACAAACATTTAAAAAAACATGCTTTTTTTATTACATAAAAAAAAAAAAAATATTTTTTTTCATTATTCTTTAAAATTTGAATATAAAAGCCATATAAATTCCATATAAATAAATCAAACATGTAGAATAAATAGGCAATAGAAGACCAGCGCAATAAATTGAGCGCAAACAATATATATATATTTTTTTTTTATTAATTACACATAAATTATATATAATCTACGTAGAAAGCGCAATAATAAAAGCGTACGTTTCGGATCTTTTTAGAATCATTTTCAGCGCGTATAAAAAATTCGGTTAATAATTGATTCAAGAACATGCATCAAACAGTCAGAACGTTAAAATTTATGAAGTAGTCATTCTTACTAAAATTCGCTTCGCAATCCATAAAGTAATTATAAGCAGCTCCGCTCTTTCAATACGTAACGTCAAAATCAAATCCCAAATCTGCGGAATGCGTCACTCACCGATTGACAGATTGGAGAATGTAAGCATCACGGCCCTACATACTCAATTTTGGCATTTCCGGGCATATGTTTATATGACATTTTTTCTTGTTTTTGTATGGAGGACTTACTCCCAAAGTTTGTTGAAAGTATTTCTGAAACAACCTGTATACCCGGAGCTGGCAAAGCGCGCATTTCAAAGTTTAGATAGATTATTGATAACGTTAATATAAGTATGGTATCTAAACTTTTAATGGTCGTCTGTAAATTAAGACTATTATTTTGCCTTTTTATGTGAATTATTTGAATCTATGGATTGCGAAGTAAATTTAGTAAGAATGACTACTCATTTTTAACATACTGCCTGTTTAATATAATTCCTGTTCTGCTCTTGAATCAATTATGAATCAGGTTTCTTATACACGCTGAAGATGGTTCTGGAAAGGTCCGAAACGTACGCTTTTATTATATTGCGCTTTCTACGTAGATTGTTTTTTTTTTAAATATAATAATATTTTTGGTTATATTTTTTGTTAATATAATAAAAAAACTAAAGTTCTTATATTTTTAATGTTTTTTTTTTTCAAAAGTAATTTTAATGGATTAATGAGATTTTTGTGTTTTGTTAATATAATAAAAAAAATGTTCTTATAGTTTTAATTTATTTTTTCTGAAATTAATTGTGAGAAATGAATTAATGAGACCTTTGCAACAAATTACATGACATGATTTCGATCATTTTCACTTAACCTAACTGAAAATTATCTGCGTTATGTTGTGCCTGGTATTGCATTAATCACAAAAACCGCATTAATTTCATAAAATAATATTTAAAAAAACAAATTAAAAATACAAGAAAACTTTAGTCTTTTTTATTATATTAAAATAATGACTAAAGTACATTTTTAAAAACTACAAACGTAAAATTATTAAAAATTGCAAATAAAATTATAAATTATTATAGATACAAAAAGTGTGTGTGTTTTTATATCTATAATGAAGACAATTCTTTCACATAAAATTTGGATTTATTTCTGGAGAATTTATCTAATTAAAAATATTAATTACATAATTATATAGCCAATTGGAATGCGATCTACATTTAATAGTGGTTAGCTTAAAGCTATCATCTAAAAGATTAAAAATTATGAAAAATTAACTTGTGTAACAATAAAAATATAAAAATATAAATATCTGAAAAAAATAAGACTTGTTTTTTTTTTACAAAAAAAAAACTGTATATTTCTATAGTAGCAAGTATATTTTAATCAAATAAAATTGTAGAGAAAATTCAAATGTGCTCAATTACATAATATAAAAATCGATTACAGTTGGGCTAATATCAATATATTAAAATTTATGAAGCATGAATAAGCTTGAAATAGTATAAACCAATTTTAGAAAAATTATATGACAAAAATTTGAATAACAATTATTCTCTAATGTTTATAGTATGTGCTATTTGTTGCGTATTTGCTGTTATTGTCGCTCAGTTCTGGTCGAGAATTTTCGATATTACATTACCAATGAACGTATCTCGATCGTATAGCTTACCGATTACAATGGAATATTTCGTCGATCAAGAAAAATATTTCTATTGGATTCTGCTACATTTATATATATCGTTCTGCATCGGGGTAACTGCAATGGTGGGAATAGGAACAACGCTTATTGCGTATCTTCAACATATGTGTGGTATGGTTAGAATTTCCAGGTGAGAAACAAACATAAAATTACAAAATTTGAGTATTCAATAAAATTCTCGGTAAAAGTGACATTTAAGGGATGCAGTCCCGATGACTTTGACCTTGACATATGTTGTCAAGGTCACCCTCCTGAGTGATCTTCAGAAGGTTTTAGCCGTCGCTCGTTTTTTATTAAAAACTTATTAACTAAAATATTATTTATTAAATGTCTGGAATAAAGATAGAAATAAATTAAATTAGAAATAGGTTTGGGTTAGGTTATTTCTTCCGGAAGTGGAGCCCCCCAGGGGGCGGAACTCACTGTTTTATGCATACACTTTTTAATGCGAAGTGAGGTTCCACATGGGTTTATACTGCCTGTTTAATATATGTTCTGCTCTTGAATCAATTATGAATCAGGTTTCTTATACACGCTGAAGATGGTTCTGGAAAGGTCCGAAACGTACGCTTTTATTATATTGCGCTTTCTACGTAGATTGTTTTTTTTTTAAATATAATAATATTTTTGGTTATATTTTTTGTTAATATAATAAAAAAATGTTCTTATAGTTTTAATTTATTTTTTCTGAAATTAATTGTGAGAAATGAATTAATGAGACCTTTGCAACAAATTACATGACATGATTTCGATCATTTTCATTTAACCTAACTGAAAATTATCTGCGTTATGTTGTGCCTGGTATTGCATTAATCACAAAAACCGCATTAATTTCATAAAATAATATTTAAAAAAACAAATTAAAAATACAAGAAAACTTTAGTCTTTTTTATTATATTAAAATAATGACTAAAGTACATTTTTAAAAACTACAAACGTAAAATTATTAAAAATTGCAAATAAAATTATAAATTATTATAGATACAAAAAGTGTGTGTGTTTTTATATCTATAATGAAGACAATTCTTTCACATAAAATTTGGATTTATTTCTGGAGAATTTATCTAATTAAAAATATTAATTACATAATTATATAGCCAATTGGAATGCGATCTACATTTAATAGTGGTTAGCTTAAAGCTATCATCTAAAAGATTAAAAATTATGAAAAATTAACTTGTGTAACAATAAAAATATAAAAATATAAATATCTGAAAAAAATAAGACTTGTTTTTTTTTTACAAAAAAAAAACTGTATATTTCTATAGTAGCAAGTATATTTTAATCAAATAAAATTGTAGAGAAAATTCAAATGTGCTCAATTACATAATATAAAAATCGATTACAGTTGGGCTAATATCAATATATTAAAATTTATGAAGCATGAATAAGCTTGAAATAGTATAAACCAATTTTAGAAAAATTATATGACAAAAATTTGAATAACAATTATTCTCTAATGTTTATAGTATGTGCTATTTGTTGCGTATTTGCTGTTATTGTCGCTCAGTTCTGGTCGAGAATTTTCGATATTACATTACCAATGAACGTATCTCGATCGTATAGCTTACCGATTACAATGGAATATTTCGTCGATCAAGAAAAATATTTCTATTGGATTCTGCTACATTTATATATATCGTTCTGCATCGGGGTAACTGCAATGGTGGGAATAGGAACAACGCTTATTGCGTATCTTCAACATATGTGTGGTATGGTTAGAATTTCCAGGTGAGAAACAAACATAAAATTACAAAATTTGAGTATTCAATAAAATTCTCGGTAAAAGTGACATTTAAGGGATGCAGTCCCGATGACTTTGACCTTGACATATGTTGTCAAGGTCACCCTCCTGAGTGATCTTCAGAAGGTTTTAGCCGTCGCTCGTTTTTTATTAAAAACTTATTAACTAAAATATTATTTATTAAATGTCTGGAATAAAGATAGAAATAAATTAAATTAGAAATAGGTTTGGGTTAGGTTATTTCTTCCGGAAGTGGAGCCCCCCAGGGGGCGGAACTCACTGTTTTATGCATTCACTTTTTAATGCGAAGTGAGGTTCCACATGGGTTTACAACTTTCCACGCAAAGCGAGGTTCAACGCAAACCAATGTGTCTAGTTCTTTGATAGTGGAGCCCGCCGGTAAAGGGGGGCGGAACATACTGCCTCCACGCATATACTTTTTAATGAGAAATGAAATTCCACATGGGTTTATAACTTTTCACGCAAAGCGAGATTCAATTCATGTACAACCCATGTAGAATCTCACTTTGCTTTAAAAAGTGTATGCATGGACACAGTAAGGTTCCGCCCCCCTACGTGGGGGCTCCACTATCGAATAACTAGACACATTGGTTTGCGTTGAACCTCGCTTTGCGTGGAAAGTTGTAAACCCATATGGAACCTCACTTCGCATTAAAAAGTGTATGCATAAAACAGTGGATTCTCCCCCCTCCCCTTCGGGGGGGCTCCACTTCCGGAAGAAATAACTTAACCCAAACCTGTTTCTAATTAATTTCCTCTCTATCTTTAAAATATAAGCTTGGTAATTCATGCCGAAATATACTATATACAGTCTTATGTCGCAAGTATCGGTCGATAACTCAGGAGGGTGACCTTGACAACATATGCCAAGGTCAAGGTCATCGGGGCTGCATCCTTTAAAGGTTACTTTTACCATTACAGTTATCGTATTAAACGCGCCGTGGATATTAATACATTAAAAAATAATAATCTTGAGAATGAGATTTTAATATTGCAAGGAATAATTAGTGCTGTAGATATTCATCGGAAAGCTATAAAGTTAGTATCTCTATTCGATGATATATACATATATGAGTATAATATGTCTAATAATATTTCTTGATCTTGAAAGATTGTTCCAGCTTTTGGCATTCAAAATTGAGAAAATGTTGTTCTGTTTAATAGTAGTCGGAGTAGTCTCTGTGAGTCTTAATCTCTTTCAAGTAAGTTTCGTGTTACGTCGTTTATATCCATTATTTTTAAACAATACTTAATATATATATATATTTTACTGTATATTGTGTATGTGTACTTTATATTACGAAAAAACGTATTTTCTCTCTCTCTCTCTCTGTCTATTTTCTTTCTTTTTTCTCTTGTTGATATCTTTGATTTTATAAAATATTTATCTTTATTACTTTTTTATTTTTGTCATTTAGATTTTTATTTTTGTATACATCAGTCGTAATCGTGCAATTAATAAGCATTATGGTGAATAATGTTTAGAGAATGTAAGAAATACAGATGCAAATTTGTTACAACCGCGATCTTATGTTTTAGATTTTTCAGATTGCATTATCATATGGAGATGATATCAAGGATATTTTATTTCCTTTTTTAAGCGTAACACTTAGTATTTTGTACATGTTTGTAGCCAATTATGTTGCGCAGGATGTAACAGACCACAATAATGACTTTTTTGCTACTGTGTAAGAAATATTGTTTTAGACAAATTGTATGAAATCACGCATCTTAAAGAATGTTTTATTAAATGCAGAGAGATCAATGTTGTAGCGTAGAAATATATGAATCTATCTTTACATGATTGCGTAGGTATGACGTTCAGTGGCATGAAACTCCGTTACATATACAGAAACTGATATTATTTCTGCTTCAAAAAGGAACCAAAAAATTTACTATAAGTGTCGGTGGACTATTTGTCGGATCATTGGAATGTTTTGCCACGGTAAATATAATAAATATATTATTAAAAGATATTAATAAAGTTCGAAAACTGATTTTTTTCTGGACGTACTGATTGCACTATCTCTTGGCCTACACTGGGTCTAGTTATTATAATGCCTCTTGAGTCTGCCATATTTTTTTGCCGCTATTGAGTCAATAGTTTAAAAAGTTTGCGTGTGTCCAAAATTTTTTAAAATTTTTAACGTTGTCACGATTTTCAAAATGGAACCGTGATTAAGTTTTGTTTTAAATGTGGAAAAACTGTAACAGAAACATATTAAATGATGTAAGATGCATTTGGAAAAGATTGTCTAACGCGTAATGAAGTGTTCAGGTTCAGGTTGGCATCAGCTCATTCACAAAATTCTGCGCCGCCGCGTTGCTCTTTCTGCTTCGGTATCCACTGTGTATCGTCTGAAACTCGCACACACTTTTCCGAGCACGTTATGCACGATAGTGTGAACACTTCCCACATTAATGTTCAATCTGTGCGAAAACATTTCGATCGTCAGTCGGCGATTTTGCGCGAGAAGCGCGCGCATAAATTCGACATTCTTGTGGAAGAGGATCCACTGTGGAAACTCGCACACACTTTTCCGAGCACGTTATGCACGATAGTGTGAACACTTCCCACATTAATGTTCAATCTGTGCGAAAGTGCGAAAATCGTCAGTCGGCGATTTTGCGCGAGAAGCGCGCGCATAAATTCGACATTCTTGTGGAAGAGAAACTTTAAACTATTGATTCAATGGTGGCAAAAAAATATGGCAAACTCAAGAGGCATTACAGTAACTAGATCCAGTGTAGGCCAAGAGATAGCGCAGTTAGTACGTCCAGAAAATAATCAGTCCCCGAACTTTTTAAATGCACTGTGTATTGTAAATAAACATTACAGTTGGTGAAAACTTCGATTTCTTACTTTACTGTCATATATTCAACGCATTAATAAGGTAAAAAAAACAAAAATAGCGAGTAATTTATAATCTGACAAAAGTTTAGTTAAATATAAACCTCAAAATTACAATTGTATTACATTTAAAAGTTAAAAAAAGTTTATTATTAATTAGTTTCCCATAGTTTGTATTTAAATAGTTATAAGAGAGAGATCTCCGAAAACACTTGGTCGTTCACGTTAAAACCGGAATTTAATTTTTAAATAGGTAAAGAGACAGAATTATGACCAGTAAAGAACATTTATTCTTCAGAGTAATCTCCATTTACATCACAGCATCGATGTACCAATGCGTTAATATCAGCAGAATAGAAGGATTTATCCTGACGTCTGAACCACTGTAATACACACGTTTTAAACTCATCTTCTGACTGAAGCGCCTATCAAATGTTCCTTTAAGGGACCAAACAGATGAAAATCTGAATGTTTGTAGTTCTTTCCTGGTTTTTTCGGAGATGTGTGTTACAGTGGTACATTTTCGGGGAAAATGCTGTGATATAAACGGAAATCACATTGAAAAATAAATATTATTTATTCATCATAATTTTGTTTCTTTACCTGTCTATAAATTAAATTCCGGTTTTGACGTGAACGACCCAAGCATAAATACATATATTTAATTAAAGATATTACATAAATGTCACATTTTCAATACATCATAAACTTTGAATCAAATATAAAACATTGATATATATTTATTTAATTTCACATTATTCTCAACTTTTATTTTAACTTGTGTGATATACGTACTGTCACATTACTTTTAATGAATAATTTATGTATTGTTAATGTTTGCTAAACTTTTTTATAGCTTAATTTTCTTTACGATAAATAAACTATGTGCAAATGAAATATCAAGATTTGAGAAATAAAGCTGTTTTCAGTAAAAATCATATTACCTTTAGGTATAACTTGATAATTTATATGTCTTCTGTATGTAAACCTAAAAAATGATGATTATTCCTAAAGATGACACATAAAATTAGTTATTATACAGGGTGCTCCCGTTAAATGGCCAAATTTGAAATGTGAATTTAGGAAACAAAAAAAAATTTTCCTCTGGAAGTATGTTCGCAAACGTTTCGTTCAAGAGATATTGACTTCTTAAATTATAGAACTATAGGAATGAATAATATCGAAATAATCTAAGTTTATCCTTTTTATTGTTTTACAGTAATCAAAATTTAATTATGAAATGTTTTGTTCAAAATGATGGCCTCCAGTCCGGGGACAAGCATTGAACCTATCGATGAGAGAACGAATGGCTGACTGACATTGTGCGTCTGTAATTTCTTTGCATATTTCCACTATCCTCCGTTTTAATGATTGTCAATTTTGTTTTAGTTTTGTTTACAGTGCAAACATAAACCTGTTAATGGCCTTCCATCTTCAAAACAAAAAAAGAGACATTTCGACATTATTCATTTCTATAGTTCTGTAACTTAAGAAGTCAATATCTCTTGAACGAAACTTTTGCGAGCATACGTCCAAAGGAAAATTATTTTTGTCTTGAGGTCCTAAATTCATATTTCAAGTTTGGCCATTTAACCCCAAAGCATATGCTATATATCAAACAGCAAATTTGATTAACGTTATATTGTTTTTAAGTATTTTGATATGCAATTTATATAATGAGGCACGTCAAATATTACTTTCATATGTCTAATTTATTCAAAGACGTGCTATCTGAACTGATATCTGACGCGTCTCTGAATTTTTAAACTTAAGTCTTTCGTTGATGAAAGTGACGTAAGTAATAAAAAATTATGTAAACATACAAAGTAATAATTGTAACATATCGATATTTAGCTTTTAATATGATATCTTTTATCGTGTCAACTATTAATTAAAAGTTTAACAGATATATCATGCACAAAGATCTGATTACTAGTTTAAATAGTAGGAGCTTTATCAGAAAGGCCCGATGCTCTCAAGAGTGGATGACATTCGTCTCGAAGACCAAACGTACGCTATGAGTGCGAACAATAGAATGAAACGTGTGAATTTGCGGTACAAAGGAAATGGCAAATACGCATGCGTGACTTCCGCGCAAGAAATTCTCTTTATAAATATATTTTCTTAAATAACACCAATTTTCTTAAATAACGCCTTGAAATTACTCCGCTATCAAATCGATCGCATAATTAGGGACTTTATTGCGAGAAACATTGTTAAACTGTGTATATTCTACTTTTGCCGCGTTCTATAGTTGTATCCGGCACTTTGTGAATTACACAAAATAATATGCAATTTATATTAAAATTTACACCAAAAAGAAAAAGAGGAATAAAATACTTGATCGACCAATGGAAAAAGAAGGGGATGTGTTCGAGTAACGAACATTCGTTATTTCACTATCATGTGCGTCCCAGACGTCGCAAGAAAATGATCTGTCTCGAGACTCAGTATTTTAATTTGAATAGGATTCTTCTGCTAGCTATTGGCGTATGGCCCTATAAACAATCGAACTTCACTCGATTTCAATTCATTTTTTTGTTTACTATTTTAACTACAAGTCTTATATTTCAGGTAAGCTTTAATATATATATATATATA